CTTTCATGGTTCATGTATAATTATCTAAGAAAGACTTCTAGCTTCAAATGTTTTGATGCTTTGAATTATAGTCAACATAATGTTATACTTAATATAGTTCTTCTCTTTAGCATTGAAGTATTACCGTTTTTTGTAGTTTTTATATTTAGTCGTGGTTTCTATGTTGTTAATGAGTGTAGTTTGATTAGTGCCATGATTGGTGTAGATGAGTAGAAATATTATGTTAGTCCTTAAGAAATAGTTGGTTAAGAAGATAAAAGATAATAATTGGCATGTAAGTTTCTTTTATGAATTTTTTTTTTTCATAGTTTGGACATCAATGTAACAAGCAATTTGGGCGTAGAAGAATACTTGTTATTTTGTATTGTCTTGGTCATCAAGGCTCTTAAGCAACATGGGCCAAATAAGCTAAAATTTGTAGGCCCAATGACAATAGAAAGCAAGATGGGCATTTTCTTTAAAACCAATAAATTGTCTTTTGTTAAATAAAATAAGTGGCCCAATACCATGAAAGTTTAACATAAGCTTACCCGGGTTTAATGTCTTGCATTAGTGAAAAATTTGTTTTTAATAATAATTTTTTTTTCCCAGTCGAACAAGTAATAAATAAAAAAGAAGCGCTTTTTAATTAATTTAAGCGATAGGCAATTTTAGGCACGTTTGAGATGTAGACCATGTGTTCATACACGGTCCTTGGTCGATATTTTTTTAAAAAATAAAGTAGTCATGTGTGCATTCCCGCTCCTTGACTTTTCAATATTAATTGTATTTAAACCATGTGTACCGACACGTTCTTTGTTTTAATACATATAATCAAATAAGGACTTTGTGTGCTTGCACGCTTCTAGGCCAAAATTATTAATTATTAAGCAGCACTAGACAATAGTAACTTAAGGCAAATAATACACACCTTATCCAAAAATAATTCAAGCCAAATTTTAGTCAATAAAAGCGACCGTGCTAGAACCACAGGATTCGGGGAATACCTTACACCTTCTCCCCGGTTAACAGAATTCCTTACCCGGACTTTATTTTCGCAGACCAATAATAATAGAGTCAAATCTTCCTTTGATTAGGGATTCAAATAAAAGGTGACTTGGAACACCAACAAAATCAATTCTAAGTGGCGACTCTGTAAATAAAATAATCCTTACTCAATTTTATCACTTTAATTGGAAAAATCCTTTAATTCACACAATATTATTTTGCGGGTAGAAAAAGGGGTGTGACAGCCAATTGTATATATCTCTGTTACTGTTGAAAGTAACTCGGAATGCTTATATTTCTCTGTCTGAACCGTAAATACTGATAATTTTCACTAACTAGGTACCTTGTACCCTACTTCACCTTGCTTCTTTTACTTGTTGAAATGTGTATCCACCTTTTAATTCTCTTATTGCTTTTTACCATATGGGTGGATAGATATTCATGCCTTAGGTCTCCTTTTCAAGAAGCTTACACGTCTTAGTACACAAATGATATGTTGAAGACCTCACAGTTACTCATCATAAGCATGATGCAAAATCGAGTTCCTCTGCCTCAACTCTTCCACAACCACATTTAATCTCTTACCAACTGTCTTTCTAGATGTAGGTATCGTTGTATTACGAATAAAATAGAATTTAGGAGTTTGAATTCTTACAAATGAGCTCTACCACACGATTTAGAGTAAGAAGAAAGAGTAACAGTTCTAAATTCCCTGTAGTATCCTGCTTATAAGTGGTGGTGCACAATACACCCACAAACAATACTCTCCTAGACACGGCTTGTAGACTCCCTAGGACAGAACTGCTCTGATACCACTTTTGTTACGACCCAAACCGCAGGGCCGCGACGGACACCCGGTGCCTTAATCAACCGAGTACCAATGTAATATATCTTTCTTATCATACCATCATGGGTAAGTGGGTCAGAAGGGCCGTCATGAGATGACTAGAATAAAATATACGGGAATGCTCGACATAGGATGACAAAACATAGTATACAAACTCATACATGTGACATACGGGCCTATACGACCGAAATGATCATTTGTACACTCAAAACATAGGCCGACAAGGCCATACAATCAGCCATATACATGACACATGTATACAAGCCTCTAAGAGTACATAAATGTCACAAAGGCCAGGATAGGAACCCGCCATACCAGTCTATACATGTCCAAAGCATACTGACCAAATAGGTAACTCCGTAGCAAGTGGAGTGCACCAACACCAACACCTTCCTCTGAGCTGATAGCCTACTAGGAGGACTGTCAACCTGTCTATCGGGACCTCCGGGCATGAAACACAACGTCTCCAGGAAAAAGGGACGTCAGTACAAATAAAGTACCGAGTATGTAAGGCATGAAAAGCAGTATATAAAAGACATGAAAGAAACATAGATTAAAGAACTCAACATGTAAGTCTCTGAATAACTTTGTGAATCATGAAAAATTTATAATGTCATGCATATGCGTATAAATGTCATATCATGCATAAGTGTATGCGTACATAACGTTATCAAGCCTCTGAGGATATCCTATTATATCATCTCGGCCTCTGTGGGTGAAATCATCAACGTATACTAGTTGATCAGGTGGTGGTGCGTATATAACGTCGTAACTTTTTCCCATACCCCATGTACATATAATATACGCGTATATAACGCCATCTGGTCCTGAGTCAATGTACATGTATAAATAAATGCAATGCATAATGAAGTAAGTCAATAAGATCTCTGGGAATGTCATAAGATCATTATGCCTTCGGATAAACTTTATCAATTTACGTATTTTCTGAGACCCATGAACAAACCATATAATAATGGGACACATGGAGAATCAAGAACATAGGCAACTCTAGTACTTCTAAGAATAAAGTTACTTGTGAAAGTTGCATGTTTGTTCGTTTAGTTGTATCATATGGATCATGCCAATAGGAAAAAAAGGATAGCCTTAACATACATTAACTCCGTTGAATCCTTAATACCTTCCAAGCAATTCTTTAAACAACTCAACTCAATCTACCATAACATAAAGAGATTCAAAATCAGTGCTGAGTAAAGGCTAAGTACGCAACTTAAACTAGTAGCTCGTTTATGTATATTTGGGCAGCATCTCCCCTGTAACCTTACTTTACCAAGTCCATCAACCAACATGAACCCATACAACTTTTACCTATATAATTTCAGAACCACAACACAAATCAAGCTACATAACAACAAGTGCATAAACATCACTAACGAAACTACTATTTAACACGACAAACGACAAGCTCAGATTGAATCCCTTTTGAACCATTTAACCCTAAAGTCATTAATTCATTAACTTAACAACATAGCCAACATGATATTAAGTACAATGGGACATGTAGACAATATTTCACTTGAAGAATCCTCCAAAACAGCCACAAGATGAAGGGCTACGATCTAGCAACCACTAAGGGATCTCTAGCGTCAAATTCATGTTTTTCTCTTTGGTTTTCACTCTAAAATAATGGAGATTGCTTTGAGAGTGTTTTGGGAGAGTATAGGGTCTGGTTGGGTCAAAAAATGACCCCAAATGAGCCTTGACCCGATCTTTAAAGATTGAAGAATCACCCACCGCCTAAGTGGGGTACGTCCCATGGGAGCTGCTTACGCAGTCTCACAAAATGCGAATATCTCTCTACTCCGACGTCGTATCGACAAACGGTTTAATGCGTTGGAAACTAGACTCGTAGAGCTTAAATTTGGTATGTGGATCATCCCTTAATTCCAAGTATATTGGGAGAAACGATCAGCTACATATTACCTAATTTTCAGCATATTATGAATGTAATTTGGGATGACCTTTGCCAACTTTTGTTCCATGAATTGCTTGACTCCAAGACGTAACACGCGACTATCATACGACTAAAATAACTCATAACATAACCTTATTATCATGTTAAGCACCCTAGTCTCACTCCAAAAGTATATGTTATAACTTTCCCCGCTTGTCGACTTTCGATGAAACTTATTTTGTTCAATTCGTTTAGCTTCTAAGTCTTTCAACACTATTGGTTCTTATTATTCATGATCTTAAATATTTGTAACGTCCAAGGTAACATGATTAATTTACTTTATATACTTTCAAAGACGATCTTATTTCTAAGCTTACGTCACTTGACTTACGACATACTCTCACGTACGAAAACATGGGAGTAACAGATAAGTACATGTTATCTATCAAAAGTATAATAAGTACTTTAAAAAATAAGAAAGAATTGTCTGTTAAAATACATTGATAGTACAACAAGTTAAAATACATTGATAGTAAAAAAATTCTTTATACACTCGAAGTTTAAAAGTTAAATCCTATAAATAATATGATCAAGTAAAGCCGGCCTAAGCTATATCAATTTGCCATTATCCTTTGCATTAAATGAGTTGCAAATGTCACTTTATGAATATTTATTTACTTTTGCCTTGTCAATATCCCTTGTTAGATTGTTCTTTAGTAAAGCTGCTGCTTTGTGTGAATTAGCCAATTAGGTCATCATTACTATGTTTCAACACTAATTAAATAATTGGGAAAATCGATTTAACGATATTTAAATGGATGTGCTACTTATGATTTGGAAAACAAATCTTACGTGGATTTACCTTGGAAATGCATTCATTTACTCTACTGGGGATAAGTTTTTAACAATATTTGTATTGATTTAACTCTACAAGAAAGGGGTTTAGAAAAAAATCTGTTTTCTTGTGTCGAGAATAAGAGGGGTATTTAGAATACAAGTTATGGGTTTCACTAAACTCATAGCTTCGGCTCAAGCCCGGTATATTTGTCAAATTAAATATGTACAAATAATAAATTTTGAATTCTTTAATTCGATGGAATATAATAAAATTTTAAATGTAAACTCATAAAATTCAATCCTGAATCTGTCTCTAGTCTAGACACTCCAAATTTTTGACTATTAAATTTTAAATTTAATAGGGAAAGGATTAAGGATTTACCCGATGTGAGATATCACATTGTTCGAGGCACCATATAATTTTTTTTAATATTTTCTTGGGGATGCTAACTCAACGACAAAGTACTCAAGTTTTTAAGTGCGATTAGTCTCTTTTACACACATTTCTGTGGCTAATGAATTTATTCGTATAAATCATTTAATACTGCTAAGATTATTAGCATTAGGGTAGGCGATGGCCGCTGCATGGTGGAATTTAGCAAGTTGCCGGAAAACGGCACCACCTACCCGAGCAAGAGTTGTGCTCACCGGGTTGAATTGCCACAACAGGGGCCTTCCTCAAGGGAGGAGTTCATACCCGGAGAAAGAAAGCAGACTACTAAATCTACTATTTCAACATATTGTTTGCACTAGTCTCATAGCTCCATCTGCCCATCTGAGAACGACGCCCTTCTTGCAAAAGCTCTTCTTACGCTAACCCTGTTCGTGGGATCTTTTATCCTTTCCTTCTTCCTAGGACAGTAAGAAGACGTCACTGAAGTGGACATTCATCTTAATATATTATAACTTCAAGAAATAGGCAAGAAAGATAAACACAATGATTTTTGCTTCCCCTCTTAAAATCCTATAAATAGAACAGAGGGTTTTTCATAAGCATGCATCAAGGGAAAAAGCTCCAAACAAATACACATTATTAGGGAAGAAATATGGCTTTCACTTATCTTGAAGTAACCTTAGCCTTAGATATTGTTTCACAGATTCTCGAACCTCGGACAGACAGAATCTCCATGCATGCCTTCAGTCATACATCCCCCATGTTAGTGTGTCCTCCCCTTAGTATGCATCCAACGGGTGTTAGCCGACACCCCTTCGTCAGAAAATTACACTGTTTAACTCGGTAATTTTAAAAAAAATATATATATATATACGATATAATGACACCCATTGACTTTTTGGTAAGTTAATTTGTTTCTTTATATTTTGACCCCTTAATAAAAATCCTGGCTCCGCGCATGCCTCCCCTTCCTAATACCTAAACAGAGTTCTGTCTGTGGCCTCAATAGGGTACCTTGAAATCTTTATAGCATTCTTTTTCTTTCTTATATTCTGGTTTTTAGAAAATAATAAAAATGGCCTACCAAGGAATTATCCATTTTTTGGGATGCCCCCGAGTCTTTTTCTCAATTTTCATAGAATTCATGAATGGGCTGGAGATGTACTTTCAAGAACTGGAGGTACTTTCTTGCTAAAAGACCTTTGGTTTACTAATATGGACATTCTTGTCACAGTGGATCCTGCAAATGTGCATTATATCATGAGTGCAAAATTTCAAAATATTCCAAAAGGGCCAGAATTCAAGAAATTTTTTGATGTTTTAGGTGATGGGATTTTTAATTCCGAGGAAGAAACTGAGTCGAGGGTATATCGGAAACAACCTCTCTACCATTCACAGCGTAGGGGAATGTCTGGGTACACACCACCTCCCCATACCCCGCTTATATTATTTCACTGGGTTTGTTGTTGTTGTATTCGAGGAAGAAACAAAGGGAATATGCCAAAGCATTGATCATTAATCAAAGATACCACAAGTTTTTGGTGAAAACTATTGATGACAAGGTGAAAGGTGGCCTAATTCCAATCCTTGAATTCATGTGTAATAAAGAAGACAGAATTGTGGATTTGCAAGATTGTTTTCAAGAGATTCATTTTTGATATATGTAAATTAGTCACTGGCTTTGATCCTGGAAGTTGGACCAGAAAAGAAACTAAGTAAAGCAGTAGAAGTTGTTGACCAAGTTATATATTAATATTAGTATACATTGATGAGACATGATGAGTTGAGCAAATGAGCAAAAAACTAAGGAAGAAGAAAAAGGTTTTGATTTATTAACATTATGCATAGTCAATGATGGAGAAACAGAAATTGGGATGAAATTTGGTAATAAATTCTTGAGGTATTAACAGTGGCGAAGCCAGAATTTTCATCAAGAAGTGTCAATATAAAAATAATTAGATACATCAAAAAATGAAGGGGAGTCAACGTATGGTAAATATACATAAAATAAATAAAAAATTATATAGCAATATAATATAATTTTTCGGCGAACGTTCAATGTGGCTCCGCCACAGGTATACAATATTGAATTTCATGTTCGCGGGTCGTGATGGAATTAACTCATGCCTTACTTGGTTCATTTGGCTTGTTTTCACAAATCTTGAGGTTGAAAAGAATATAAGGGAAGAACTTGGAGCAATTATCTTAATGGAAGAAGCCAAAAAATAGACACTTTTTACAATAGAAGAGTTGAAAAACATGGTTTATTTACATGCTGCATAGTGTGAAGGATGGAATCCATATGGGGAATGGATTCCTTGGAATTCAAGCCATAGATATGGATATCGAAACTTTCAAGAAATATGTTTAACTTTCACAATCAAGATCGAAAAAGCTAAAACAATAACCCCATTGTTATGCATAGATATAGACCCCTTGCTGTTATTTGTTTATTTACACACACAAATGATTGTTTATTTACTGTACATACCTGATGAACCTAGATAATGTGTCGTTCGGGATGTGATTTGCCAAGCTGGGACAATGAAAGCCGTCTGACCCTACCGGATTAGGTTGCGAAGGCATCTCCTTCAAAAGCAGACCGGGGAAAGAAAGAGCTATGCTAGAGTTGATTAGGCCGATATCTCACAAGATTTGGAAGGGCATTCGTTTGAAGTTTCATAATCTCAGATGCTGTCACATTGCAATATTCCAAGTCCAACGAGCGCAAATTCTTCAGAGGCTTCAAATGTTGCAATCCATGATTGGTGATGCAAGAGTTTGAGACATTTAGAGATACCAATAATGTCAGTCCTGCATTTTCAGAAGAGATGTCAAATTAGGCCAAACCATGAAAAAAGATAAACAACCTTGTTCTCCAACAGAGACGGGTACAAGACCTAAATTTGATGAGTTCAACATGTAAGTTTATTAGTATCATTATACTTTTGAAACTATAGGCTCAGATTTAATATTTCTTGAAATTTTAACGGGTTTTCACATGCATCTCTATGTTACTTGTCGAATAAACTGGCTGCAACTGAACCCACTGCTCAACAGCTGCACGCATCCGTCCCTGGTTTCTAGCAGGCCATGGGCTCTATGAATAATCTGCTATCTACACATTTCTTTTTAAGCCCTCCACTAACACACACACACACATGCAAGTCCAGAAGTTAGAATCAAAGGATTCAAAAGAAATGTAGTAATATATCAAGTATTAACATTTTAAAACCTTTTTACGTATGTATATGTTATTCGAGCTGAAAGTATTAGGTCCAGTAAATCAGACCCACTCTTGAATCCATATTTGGACACATGATAGATAAACATTTGGACAGTGTGTCACAAACTTGGCAGATTAAGAACTACTTATAACTTTTGCAGAGTTGCACACAGTATTCCGCTTCTGAATACATACATGTAGATGTGGACGGAGACTACGTTTAATCCATGGATTAAACTAAATCTAGTATTCTCAACAGGAACATTGATATTTATATGTGAAAACCCGTTAAGATTGCAACAGATATCAAATTCTAACCCACAAATTTGAAAGCACAATGAGTTCAACGCTAAGAGCCTAACATTTGAATTCATCATGTTTGGATTCCCACCTGCATTTGCATGTGGCCTACTGAATAGAAAAAAATTACCTGATAGGAGTTCCAAGGTTTTATCTGTCGAATTTCGGTTCTGTGAAAGGTTCAAAAACATCAGGGAAGAAAGATCCTTTATATTCTCGACTCCAGCATCAGTTAATGCACCACCACAAAGGTCTAGCGATTGCAGATTTCTGAAATCTGATGAAATATTGATACACATTCAGAATTTGAAAATGAAAAACTCGTTAGCTGGAATATCTACAAAACTGAGTACCACTACATATTGTTAATTACCAAGACACCTGCTAAATATATATCCATTTATGATGAATTCTCACGACACAGAACTAAACTTAGCATAAGCACCAAAAGAGGGGGGAGGGGGGTGAGC